CGGTGTTTTCCGCCCGACCCGGGCATTAAGACTGCTGCTCTAGGTGCTGGTGAGGCTGCTGCTCTTGGTGCTAGCGAGACTGCTGCTCTAGGTGCTGGTGAGGCTGCTGCTCTTGGTACTAGCGAGGCTGCTGCTCTAGGTGCCAGTACGTCTTCTTCCGCAGGTGCTGGTGAGTCTGCTCTCTCAGGTACTGCGTCGGCTTCGGCCTCCCTCACCTTCACCCTTTTCTCTGGGGCTTCTCGCTCCTTCTTTCGAGACCGCACCACACTCACGCCACTTGGTCGGCCAGTTGCTGTCTCTCTGGCAGACCCCTCTGGGGGTCGTGTCCTTGCTCACTTCTCCACTGTCCTCTTGTGTCCGGCGGCTCCCTCTGGCACCCTGTCTGGTCTTTACCTCCCCTCGTTCTCCACAAACTTGGTGAGTGGTGCTGATCTACAGGATGGGGGAGTGCACCAGTTCACTCCTGCGAGCCCGCAGGTGACACACTGCACTGAGGCTCGTACGGGCCGACACTTGGCCACGTTTACACGTCAGCCGGGGTCGAGCCTGTACACACTGACCACTACGTCTCCTCCTGTCACTGCGTCTGGTCGGGTAGCTGCGTCAGGCCAGGTGTTTGCTGCAGCGTCCAGGTCTGGTCCTGAGTCTGCCCCCTGCTCGTGTCGTCTCCTGTCTCACGAGACTCTCCTGTGGAACCACCGCCTTGGTCACCCCTCCCTACCTCGTCTCTGAGGCATGGCGGTCCGTCTCCTTGTCTCTGGTCTGCCCCAGTCCCTCCCTCCCCTTCCCCCGGGGCCTGCCACTGCCTGCGTCCCCTGCGTCGAGGGGCGGCAGCGTGCTGCCCCTCACTCCTCCCAGTTTCCCCCGACAGAGGCCCCGCTGCAGACGCTTCACATGGACGTGTGGGGCCCAGCCCGCGTCCGTGGACAGGTTCACGAGCGCTACTTCCTGCTAGTGGTTGACGACTACTCGCGTTACACCATAGTCTTCCCCTTGCGCAGCAAGGGTGATGTCACTGAGGTGTTGATCGACTGGATCCACGCAGCTCGTCTCCAGCTCAGGCAGAGCTTCGGCTCGGACTTTCCTGTTCTGCGTCTGCACTCTGACAGAGGCGGAGAGTTCTCCTCTGGCCTCCTGCGAGCCTACTGTCGTGCACGAGGTATCCGCCAGACCTTCACGCTTCCGGACTCTCCACAACAAAATGGGATTGCTGAGCGCCGCATTGGCATGGTCATGGACGTCGCTCGTACGTCCATGATGCATGCGGCTGCCCCCCATTTTCTGTGGTCGTTTGCGGTTCGGTACGCGGCGCATCAGATCAACCTTCAGCCCAGGGTCACCATGCCGGAGACCTCCCCAGCCTTGCTGTGGACGGGGAAGGTTGGCGATGCGTCTGCGTTCCGTGTCTGGGGATCTCGGGCGTTTGTCCGCGACTTGTCTGCGAACAAGCTGTCCCCTCGTGCTGCTCCGTGCGTTTTCCTGGGTTTCCCCCCTGACGCGCCAGGGTGGCGGTTCTACCACCCCACCTCTCGCCCGTGTTCTGTCCTCCCAGGACGTCACGTTTGACGAGTCGGTCCCCTACTACCGACTCTTCCCCTACCGCACCCCGTCCCTTCCCCCGCCCCCGCTCTTCCTTGTCCCAGGTCCCCCCCCGGTAGACCCCCTCCCCCCTCAGGGTCCTGCCCCTTCAGGTGTGTCCCAGGTAGACGCAGTCGAGCCTGTCGAGGTTGCTGGTGACTCTGGTGCTGTTGAGGGTGCTGAGCCTGGGGGTGCTGAGTCTGGGGGTGCTGAGCGTGTGGGTACTGTGCCTGGGGGTGCTGAGCCTGGGGGTGCTGAACCTGGGGGTGCTACGACTGGGGGTGCTGAGGATGGGGGTGCTACGACTGGGGGTATTGAGCCTGGGGGTGCTTCGCCTGGGGGTGCTGAGCCTGGGGGTGCTACGACTGGGGGTGCTGAGCTTGGGGGTGCTACGCGTGGGGGTGCGGAGCCTGTGGGAGCTGGGCCTGCTCGTGTCGCGTCTGGCGACACTGTGCCTGGAGGTTCTCCGGGTGCTTCGTCTCGGCGGGAACCACTCTCTCCACAGGAGCTGCGGGAGTGGTTTTCCCGGCGATGGAGGCGTGCTGCTGTAGCTGGAGGTTCTTCGACTGCTGAGGGTGCTGGTGTCGCGGGTCCCGGAGGTGCTTGTACTGGGAGTACTGGAGCTGCTAGGCCAGTAGGTACGACTGGAGCTGGAGCTACTGAGGGTGTTGGCGCTGGGGCTACTGCTGGCGGTCCTGCTGGGGGCGCTACTGGTGTTGCTGGAGTTCCTGGAGCTATTGGAGCTGCTGGGGGTCATGGAGCTGGAGGTGCTGCTTGCGGTACTGGTGCTGTCCCTGTTGCGTCTGGAGTCGCCGCGCGGCCTCGGCCGTACTTCGCTCCGCTCCTTCAGCAGGTTCTTGGTCTCCCGTCTTCTGCTGGTCCTCCTCCTCCCTTAGAGTGTCCACAACCTGTCCCGTCGCAGTTACAGTTACAGCCGGCCTCCCCTTTGCCTGCGCCTTCTCCCTACACTGGTCCTACTGGAGGTCTTGCTGAGCGTCGCGAGCCTGCGTCTTGCCCTGCCTCGCCTGTCCGTCCTGCTCGCACTAGTGGTCGTGGTTCGCGTCCGCGTCCTCCTCTTGTCCCTGGCACGCACCGGATGTCTCTGCGTCCGTCCACTGCTCCCCTGCGTGCCCCTTTGCCTTCTCCTCCTGAGTCCTCACTTCCTGCTCTTGCCGACCCGGAGTCGGACTCTCTTCGTGCTGCCAGTCCTACTGTGACGCGTCTCCTTGCTACTGTCGTTACTGACCCTTCCTTCAAGTCCACTGCTGCGTCTGCCCTAGTTGCTGAGCTCGTCGACTTTGCTGCTCGCTGTCGCCTAGACTACGCTGCTAGTCTTGTCGCTGAGTCTGAGTCTGTCTGTCCTCCGTCCGTCGGGGGTGAGTGTGCCCTTGGCACGGACGTCCTTGAGGACAGGCAGGAGGAGTTCCAGTGTCTGGCTGCTGCTTCACCTCATCTCGTGTCCGTACTGCTTACCCTTGAGGGAGACCCGGATGCACTTGACATCCCGACTCTGCGCTCTTACGCGGAGGCGATAGAGGGTCCCTACTCCTCTCAGTGGCAGGCAGCTATGGACACAGAGATGGCTTCCTGGAAGTCCACAGGCACCTACGTTGACAAGGTTCCCCCACCTGGGGCGAACATCGTCAGTGGCATGTGGATTTTCAGGGTGAAGCGGCCACCCGGTTCTCCGCGTGTCTTCAAGGCGCGTTACGTGGCTTGTGGCTTCAGTCAGCGGCAGGGAGTTGACTACTTTCAGACCTTCTCTCCCACCCCGAAGATGACCACTGTTCGGGTAGTGCTTCACGTAGCTGCTCACCATGACTACGAGCTGCACTCTCTTGACTTCAGCATTGCTTTCTTACAGGGCAGCCTGCACGAGGAGATCTGGCTGCGCCGCCCACCTGGCTTCACTGGGTCTTTTCCTCCTGGCACCTAGTGGAGCCTCAAGCGGCCAGTCTACGGTCTCCGCCAGGCACCGCGTGAGTGGCATGACACACTGAGGACTACGCTTGCGGCTCTTGGGTTTGCTCCTTCTACTGCCGACCCGTCGCTGTTTCTGCGCACCGACACTTCTTTGCCGCCGTTCTACATCCTCGTGTACGTCGACGACTTGGTCTTTGCCACAGCTGACACTGCTGGACTCGCCCCCTCGCCTCAGGCCACTCCTCTGCCTACTCGCCACTCGCTCTCAGCTCTGCCTTCGGATGAGTCCGTAGAGTCGAGTGGCCCGTACCCTGAGCTTGTTGGCTGCCTCATGTACCTGATGACCTGCACACGACCTGACCTTGCATACCGTCTTAGCATTCTCGCACGCTATGTTGCTCCTGGGAGACACAGACCGGAGCACATGGCTGCAGCGAAGAGGGTGTTGCGCTACTTGTGCAGTACGTCGGGCATGGGGCTTGTGCTTGGAGGGCGGAGTCCAGTGGTCCTCACTGGGCACGCAGACGCTTCTTGGGCTGACGACCAGGCTACGCAGCGGTCGTCACAGGGTTACACCTTCAGCCTTGGTTCCAGCTCTGTTTCGTGGCGGGCTACCCGTTCGTCTTCTGTTCTCGGTATTACCGTAGGTAGACGCACAAGGACTACCTTTTCTATGCACTGATGGAACACAAACTCGTGTTGATTCTGTGGTGCGGTAAGCAAACAGAACCTTCTCGTTTGTTCAGATGCGGCTTATTGTGGATATTTCATCCTACAACATGCCATAGTACATATTATACAATGATAATCGGAGTGAGGCCAAATTTCAGCCACCGATTTCGATTTGCGAATATCGAAACACCTGCAAATAGGTATATGCGGCCCTACAACTTCAGGACTTATGTGGAGGAGGTATTGTAAGTGTGTAGCTTGAAGACTCGTGAAATTTTTTCCCGACGCGTGCCTTCGCAAAACGAGCCCAGCCAGCTAGGACGAAAAAGTGTATGGCCGTCCTGAAAGCCTTGCCATGCATGCATGTATCACTTCGGCAGCTAAAAAACCCGACACGACCGGTAATCTCGACGCGTAGTAGTGATGGTTGTAACGACCGAAGCATGACGAATGACACAGTTTCTGCTGCCGCTGGTCCGAAACCAGGTGAGAGCTCACCGCACCGCTCTCCCTTCCACGCCTTCCTCCGCCGCGGCCTCCCCTGTTCTCCGTGTCGCGCTCCAACGGGTTCGATTGAACGATGAGCATACGAATGGCCCCGATGGGTCGAATGTGTTGCTCTCGCCATCGCTGATGTGACGACTGTTGAGGGATTCACGAGTGTACGAGCACGGCGAGATGCGTGTATAGGATGACCAGAATACTTGTAATACCAGAGAGTCGTTCATCTGACTGTTATCAGCGAACGCACCTCAACGCCACTGGCAGCGACTTCAATCCTAGGAGCTTGCGGGGAGATTTGTCTTAAACACCTTTTGTCGACGGCCATGGCTAGCCAACATACGACCGAGGTTCTGGGGAGGATGCATGCTCTCAAGCTCACAGCACTCTCTGATGCCCAGAATCATGAGGTGAGAGTGTTGCCCCACAGTGCATCTGATTTTCTGGTTTCTCATCACACCTCTAATACTCCCTCGATTCCTCCCTCATCTCCATTACTTCTCTCTCCCCACCCATCAGGGCGTGGACGTGGTTGATCTGCTGCCCGGCCCCATCTGGCACATCATCTTCCGCCACCTGCTGAAGAAGCGGGGTGACTCCTGGGGCGCATGGCAGTGGGGGGGAGGCAGCGACTCGTATGAGGAGAACTCGAGGCGATTCGGCTCCTCCTGGCCTGTGCTGTGCTGTGGCATGGCCAGCACGAGGCTCTTCCGTCATGTCATCTCCTTCTGTGTGAGTCATCATCATGTGCTGCTCCCTTCTCCCTTCCCCCTTCCCCCTTTCCCCTTCGCCCACCTGCTTCTTTACCGCCATGTCATCTCCTTCTCCGTGCGTCATCATCATCATGTGCTGCTCCCCTCATTCCATTCCACCCACGTGCCTCTTCACCACCATCATGGTGCCATCTCCTTCTCCGTGCGAGTCACGATGCACTCTCTCTTTCTGCATTGCATGCAACGCACAACCATCTCTGCTACAGCTCATCTCACCGCATCGCGATTTCTTCTCTGGGTGCTGAGCTCAGCTCTACTATCTCTGCGAATTCGGCTAAGCTCACGGCTAACCTCACGGCTAATCTCCTCTCACATCTCTGTATGTGAAGGAGCACGAGCCCATCCCGCTCCTAGTGAACACTCACCAGCCCCGGCTGGCAGGAATGCTCTCCTTTTTCCTCACAAACGCCGCTCACACATCCCTCAATCTCCAGCTCCAATCCTCCGACGACCTACCCAGCCTCGCCCGTCTTTTGGAGCCGGCCACTCTCTCCCTCACAGGCCTGTGCCTTGACGTGTGGGACTCTCCCGGGCCTTTGCTGGATCCGGCCTTTCTCGGGGAGTTTCAGCTGCTGCAGCAGCTGGAGCTACGCCTTGGGAGTTGGCTCCTGGGCAACCTCAACCCAGCAACGTTCCAGGCTTGAAGGATTCTGAAAGTCCACCTTTTGGAGTCCAACAGAAGGGACCTGTCCTTTCTCTCATCCATCTCACCACAGCTGCATGAATTCGCTCTCTCCTCCTCCAGCATTGGTTATAGCATCCTTAGATTCAAGTTCACCGCTGCTCGAGCTATTACAGTTTGCTTTGAGAGGCAAGCGGTGAACCTTCACTTCGCCCTCCCTCCTTCTTTGAAGTCCTTTTCTGCCTCTGCGCATTCTCTTAACGTCGACTGCACATGCGAAAGCCCCCTCTCTCTCGACTCTTTCTCTCTCAGTGGCCGCATGCAGCTCAATATTTTGTCGCTCCCATTGGCGTCTGCCAAAACTGTCCATGTGAACGCTCAAGCCACCCAAAATCTCGACTCTAAGCTTGCCTTGACCCAGCTGCTCAGCAGCATAGCGCCTACAGTGGAGAGGCTTATAGTGAGGCACGACTGGCCTCTGCAGAACGTGCACGTGGAGTGGAGCCGCCTGCACCGCCTTGCCATTGGTGTGAACCGATTCAGCACTGGGGGGTTTGGATACACAGCGCAAATGGACAGCGCGCACGATTATTACTTCTTGAAGTGCTTCGGTGGGGAAGGAGAGAGCAGCGGCAGCGGGAGCGGCAGCAGCAGCGGAGAGAGCAGCGGCAGCGGGAGCGGCAGCAGCAGCGGCGGCAGCGGCGGCGGCGGCGGTGGTGGCAGCAGCAGCAGCAGCCCGTTCATCAATTCTCCGAGCCTGGAGACTATCTTTGTTGCCACGTACAAGTGGCTTCTCTTAGCAGGCAGTTCCCTTCCTTGGCATCGTTCAGCGTTATTAATCAGTCATACCGCTGGTAGGGGGAGGGGGAGGAGTGGTGCAATCTGGTTGCATCTCGTGTCACGGCAATAGCATGGGATGAGGTCACGCTCTTTCCCATGCCATGGGTGAGGGCATGGTACTGGCAGGATGATCGGATCACACCATGGGTGTTTCTTTGAACCCTCTGAGGATATTCATGCTTGAGGGAAGAAAGGGAGCAGGGTGGGTGAGACAGTGAGTGCTGGAACCGAGGTTCACAGGGCTGATGTGTGAGGGAGGCGTGTGCAGGGACGAGCAGGAAGGGTGCTGTGCCTTAAGGGTGGTGGTAGTAATGGTGTGACAGTAGGGGTGGTGTGCTCATGTGTGGTGCATGCTACTAAACCCATGGCGATGGGATGGCAGTGTGTGCTAGCAGTGGGGATGGCAATGGTGGGCATACGTGGTACTGCTGCTCTGCTGTCAGCTGAGCACAGTAAAACAGGGGAGTTGGTGAAGGTTGATAAATATTTAATGATGTTTTTTTCTGCATACTTCGTATTGATGCTAGTGTTAAAGTTGTGTTTTGTTAGTTCTAGGGTACTTGCCATTGTTGTCCCCCCCTCGCTGTGCTTCGCAATTACTGGTACTTCCTACTCGAACTCGCTCGTCTGTGCATTCAACTTCCGCCATCGTCCAGCTGTGCGGGGAGATCAGCTCACCCACCCATACGGTACATCACTACGGTATATGTGAAGAAGAAACACCAGCGGAACACAAACTCGTAAGCCTCGAGTGCCCCACTCTCTCACGCTCCCCAGAAATGATCGGCTCGGCTGTAGCTTGTATGAGTGCACATTTACCTTATCATGGGATCCGTTCCATAAATGCAACGCAAGGCAACCATATCTACAGGAGAGCCAGCACAAGGCTCACCGAGACAAGCACGTGGAACCACATTACAAGGCAACGCAAGGCAACTAACATGGCAGGCAAGGCACTAGCTACCGTACAGCCTCTACAGGAGGGCCAGAACAAGGCCCAGCGAGACAAGCACACGAAGCAATGTTACAAACCCTATTGCGGCAACTACAAAAGAATAGCCAGCCTTAGGCACTGTCGTGCAGTTCCCAAGGAGGATGTGACCTGGGGGTGGGGAAGCACAGTCAACGAGCAACACGCCCTCCTGCTTTTGCTTCCCACTCTCCCCCTCACCACCTCCCCCATCCAGCAGGAAAAAGTCAACCAGGCGGAAAGCAGTGAAGGGCACCGGCTGCCACACCAGCAGCTTCAGCACCACCACTTGCTTCCCTGCCTCCTCCTCTGCTGCCTTGGCTTTGGTTGAAGGTGCATTCAGCAGCACCGGAGGTGTTGTTGTAGTAGGTGCCGTTGCTGCAAATATTGTAGTTGTAGGTACCGTTGTTGTTGTAGGCACCGTTGCTCCAGCTGCTGACGCTGCATCCACCGCGGCTGTTACAGTCACGCTGTAGTTGATCCCTGCTCCCTCCACCACATTCGCCCTCGCTGCAAGCACATCCAGTAGAGTCAAATTCGAGGGGAGGCTGCTCTGGTTGATGAGTTGGTTCAGGGCAAAGAGAGCGAGGGAGCGAATGGAGAAGCCATTGTAGGTGTCCGTGTAGGGAGCAGCAGTGGAGGCATTGGAGGAAGCACTAAAGGAGGCATTGGAGGAGACACTATAGGAGGCAGAGGGAGTCATTGAATTGTCAACACTGGCGGCAGCGGGGATGAGCACCCACCCCTCATCCACACACACCCCTGCCATGGCCCGTGCCAAGTCCCACTCCAAAATGCCACTGCTGCTGATGCTGTTGCTGCTGCTGCTGTTAAACATACTGCCGCCACCACCAGCAGCGCTGCTGCTGCTCGCATTCCGCCCGGCGCACCCCCCTGCTGCCGCCACGCCCATCTCCCCCGCTGTTGCATTCCGCTGCGTCCCCGCCACCACCGCAAACCACGTCACATTCACCAAACTCCTCCCACTCGCGTTCCCCCCCTGTGACGTTTCAGGCGTGGCGTCACTGTTGTTCGTCAGCCCTAGATCTAGTGCGTGCGTGGCATAGTGTGCCGCCATGCGGGTTGTGTTATCTGCTGCCAGCAGTGTGAGCGTGTATTCTCTGAACCCGGGTATCATCAACTGTGCCTCCAGCACGGAAATTAGCAGCAGCGCACTGCCCTGCGGTGGTTGGCGGGGGGGGGGAGGGAGGGGGGGGGGGGGGGCAAGGGGGGAAGCAAGCAGTGTGAGCGTGTACTCTCTGAACCCAGGTATCACCACCTGTGCCTCCAGCACCGAGATCAGCAGCAATGCTGTGCCCTGTGGGGGGGAAGGCAAGGAAGGAAGCCAGCAGCAACAGTGTGAGCGTGTACTCTCTGAATCCCGGTATCACCAACTGTGCCTCCAGCACCGACTTCAGCAGCAGCGCGCTGCCCTGTGGGGGGAAGAAGGGTGGAGAGATGGCAAGGAAGGAAGAAGGCAGTGTTACTGGGCCTAAGCATGGGCATGGGCATGGGTCTGAGCATGGGTCTGAGCATGGGTCTGAGCATGGGTCTGAGAATGGGTCTGAGCATGGGTCTGAGCATGGGTCTGAGAATGGGTCTGAGCATGGGCATAGTGGCTCATGTGAAAGGGGGATATTATCCCTTCCCACCGCTCACCTGTCTCTCATTCGCACTCGCCACCGCTTCTCGTGCCACGCGCTGCACATCCACATCTGAGGAGTCAACGAAAGTCAACAGGTCGCCACACGGAAGGGGGTTCACCGGCACCACGTGCCTGAGCGCCGCCTCCTGCTCCTCCCGCGTGCTCGCATGTCCCCACCCTACCTGCCCCCACGACCTCAACGTGTACTCCCATCCCTCCGCTCCTCCCTCTCCTCCTCCATTTTCAGCTGTTGTTGCTGTTGCTGTTAATGGAAGGGCAGCAGCAGGGGTTGCGGATTGCGCGGCCACGAGAGGGCGGCGGGAGAGGAGGGCGTCGAATAAGGCAGTGCGGCCGCGCAGCAGGTTGAGAGCCGCCAGTGACACAAGGTACTCCTCCCCGCCCGCGCTGGCATTGCCTGCGCTCGGGCGGTCCACATCGAGAACTCTGACTGGCTGTAGGCTGTCGTTCTGGCGTGGAGAAGCGGGAGACGGGAAGACGCGGGAGACGGGAAGACGCGGGAGACGGGAAGACGCGGGAGACGGGAAGACGGGGAGAAGGGGAGAAGAAAAGGGGGAAGCGTTCAAGAATGAACAGAAAGGAGTGACTGTGCTACAGTGGGGATGTGGGAGAGAGAATACGCGACAGTGGGGACGAGAAGCAAAGCAGCAAAGTGCTCTTGGGAACATAGAGTGTCGCCCGTCGCCCGTCGCTTAACACCTGTTGCCCAAGAGAGTACTCTTGCACTTGGAGCGAATCAAGGCGAGGCGAGGCGAGGCTCACCTTGGCGGCGTTGTGCTGCGCCACGGCGAATCGCGTCATGGCGATTTGGTTCTCGTTACTCAGCCAGTCGAAGTCGACATCCCAATTAGGGTTTGGCGGGGAGCCGTCTGCTGCTGCCGAGAACATAGGCGGAAGACACGCACGACACGTGGAGGCCACGTGGAAAAGGATAAGGATGCATAGCGGGAAAGTCGGGCAGTGCCGCACGTCACGGCGACGGCTCGTCATGATCGCCGTATCTTTTTGAGTGACTCTAGCGAGCAAGCTCTCAGTTCGTGTGACTGATAGGCGTCAGTTCCGGACCGCGGTGTTTGTTACGCGTCAGCTCTTCGATAGGCTTCTGCGATTGGCGTCTCGAATGGTCATGAATGGTTACCACTCATAGCGTCTGGTTTCGCAAGAATGATTAAAAGCGTGTGAGTCGAGCGGCGCATCTCGCCGACGTTCTTGCCCTATATGACGGTCCCGTCCCCGTTGCCCTGAGAGGCATGGTGGGAGGGCGACGGTTTTCGCGGTGCGAGCCATTGCAGCGTCGGCTGAGAACGAGAGACGATGAAGCAGGAAGGAGACGAGGGAGAGTGCAGATTTGACAAGGACGAACGGGACGGTAACGTCACCGTTGGCAGCCCACACGAGTGCTTCCTCTCGGCTGGGTCAGTCTCATCTCGTCAGCGTGATCTCGTACGACTTGCGGGACCGTCAATGAACTTGGGAGGAAAAGGTGGGGAAGACATGCGAAGTCTGGCTCTCGCCGAGTGTGTTACATGTTTTCTTCCATTGTCGCATGGCTTCTTCCATTGTTTTCTTGGCTCATCCGCTTCGTTCCCTGCCTGAGTGTACTGTTCCTCGCCTGATGCGACTGTTCTGTGCGGTGGTGGTTTTGGCCCTGTTCGACTGGCGCATCAGGCACAGGCTCGGGTACCAGCTACAGTAAATTGTGCTCCCTAGAAGCTTCTGAGAGAAGCGGACAAGTGTTGACTCGGGTCTGGGATCTGCTGACTCGGGGCTGGGATAGGCGCATGAGCACCGAAGCGAACTGGTGCATGATGGCAGCCGAACACCCTTTTTGGCCCCAGGTTCGGGAACTGAATGTGCGTTCCCGGAACCCTCCTCTCCTGGCAAACCGACGCACGACTGATGCGCCCATGGTGCATCCGTGGAGAGCTAGGGCCCAGTTCGGCTGGCGTTATGGGCGTTATGGCCTTTTTAACGGGCCTCGAAAAACGCCGGGTCGAAATAACGACGAAGCCAAGATGCGCTAGCGTTGTAACTTCGGAATAACGGGGTTGAGTGTTCGGCAGGCGTTAACAATGATGGCGTTATGGGAGCTGAACATTCGAAGAAGCCAGAACGCAGTTGCTATGCTGGATCGCACAATCATATGATTGGCCAGTCCATTCGACCAGTCGCATATGATTGGCCGCATCACTGATCCCTCGCATGGTATAAGCTCTCGGCCTTGCACCATGCAGCGGATCAGTGGTGCGCCACTTTACTAGGGGAAACGGTTTCCTGGAACCACCGTATTGCTAAAAACGCAGGCGTTAAAAGGGCTGTTCGGCAGGCATTTTAACACACTCAGGCTCGACATCAATCCGCCTATCTCGAACCTTGATAACCGACCGCTCGCTTATATTTTCACTGTAGCCTGTCCCCGAGCCTGATTTTAACGCCTGCCGAACTGGGCCTAGGCCCAGTTCGGCAGGCGTTATGGGCGTTATTGGGCCTTTTTAACGGGCCCCGAAAAACGCCGGGTCGAAATAACGACGAAGCCAAGATGCGATAGCGTTGTAACTTCGGAATAACGGGGTTGAGTGTTCGGCAGGCGTTAACAATGATGGCGTTATGGGAGCTGAACATTCGAAGAGGCCAGAATGTAGTTGCCATGCTGGATCGCACAATCTCTGTTTTCTGCCCTGTCAACTGTTTCTCATGGCGAAAAAAAAATCGGATAGGTGTTTGGATTGTTTGTGGAAGTGTGGTTGGGTTTCGATGTTTTGCTTGGGCAAGAAAAGGGGTACGAAATCAGAGGTTTGTTTTTGTCAGGGCATGGTGTGGTTGCCCCGGATCAGTGATCCGCCGCATGGTGGTGGCTCTAGACGATCGACCATGCGGCGGATCATTGGTGCGTCTGTTTGCCAGGGGCGACGGATTCCTGGAAGCATCGAAGGGCTAAAAACGCCAGCATTTAGAGGGCTGTTCGGCTGGCGTTTTCAACCGCTCAGGCTCGGAGTAGATCCGCTTATATCGAGCCTTGATAACCTCTTGGCAGGTTATCACGGAAGGTTCTAGGGTGGTCGTTTTACTGTAGCCCATACGGGGAAACCGGTTTTTTAATGGCTGCCGAACTGGGCCCTAGCACCATGCGTGTCAAGAATAATATATATTTCTATATATTGTTTTGTAACTGCCTGTAGTGTAGACTACTGTAGTTATATAATGTTCTGTTTGGTGGTGCACCTTCCTTCTTGCCTATTTGTACTGCTCGCTCTATAGTGAAACCTCTCACTTTCTTGAAATTTTCTCGACTTACCTAAACCCACTCGAGCTCAACTCTTCTTCTAACTAGCTATGGCTCCTTAGCCTAGCTCAAGCTTTGACATGCTATCAGAGCGTGTTCCGCTCCTGGACTCCTGCTTCCGCTGCTACTGAGTGTACTGCACGCCCCGTGGTGTGCCCTACTGTCGCGGCCCCGCCGCCCTACTGTCGCGGCCTCGCCGCCTCTCTACTGTCGCGGCCCCGCCGCCCTACGTCGCGGCCTCGCCGCCCTTCCCTGCGGCCCCGCCGCCCTTACTACGGCCCCGTCGCCCACTTGCGGCCCGGCCCCGTCACCTACCAGCGGCCCCGACCAGCGCCGCCCGTGCAGCCGCCCGTGAGCTGCCCGTGCGCCACCCGACGTGCCGCCCGTGCAGCCACCCGTGAGCCGCTCGTGCAACCGCCCGTGCAGCCGCCCGTGCAGCCGCTCGTGCAGCCGCCCAACGTGCCGCCCGTGAGCCGCCCGTGCCGCCCGAGCCGCCCACCACAATGCGTGCACCAGCTGATGCGGGGCAGCACCAGCTGGTGTGGGGCAGAATAAGGGGCCCGCCAAGCTGAACATTCCCCGAGTTTGACTAACTTGACCCACACAATTGCCCGCTCTGTAAAGTCGAACACCTACCGTGTTTGACAAAATTGACAGACCAATCGAACCAATTTGACAAACCCCAAACCACTTCCTCTCGTTCGAGCACCACACCCGAACCAAGCCTGGTACCCAAGCACCACCAACGAACCTGTGCTGGTACCCGAGCCTAAACCCTGATGTAGTAGTCGAACAGGGCCTTTGTGTTTATTCTCGAGGTTTGCTAGTTTGCACCGGCTCGGACCTGGTTTCATCCTGTTGTCTGAATGCGTTTGAGAGGGTCACATGTTTCAGCAACTGCGCAAGGTGGTCAGATGGAGCGAAACGAGCACTAGCGACTCAAGTATGTTACTCGATGAAAAATGAAACTTCGCCTGTCTCGGTAAAATCCTACGAAATTTAGATTTGCGAGAGAAAGGTCTATCAAAACGAAATCCAACGCTGGATTTGTGACGCATTACGTGTGGTTCACTAGAAGTGTTCTGAGATTGCCCCAGTTGTAGCACGGCGGCCAGCGTGCGGGGAGACCCAAAGCAGAGGAAATCGGGTCTGAATCTGAACGAGAAACGGAAAAAACCTAGGAGAAGCTAAGGGCGAGGTCAGGTTGTACATTTCTCACACATTTACAGTTCTTGTATCGTGGTTCAGGACGGTTCGACACGGTGAAAAGCGTTTCTCAATATTTACCAATTTGCACCGTGACGAAACAGAGTTGACCGCGTTGAGCGTACAAAAGTTGTGGAACCTAACGTCGCGGTAATTCAACAGCTACGGCAATTGCTCTGGTCCGACAATGGCTACTGGAACCAGAGCAATTGCTGTGCTCGTCGATGGCGAAACTTTGAGGAACTGGTGGAATGATGAAGTGGCTGGAAGCTTCCTGGCGCATAGATTCTGCGTCCGTTGCCGCATAAAAGCTATGCGGAAACGAAACACCACCATAATCATGCGGCCTGCGTAGCAAACCCTCGCCTTCACTGCATGCTAAGAGACCTCCTGGACAGAAACCAAGATTGGTGTGTAGGGCCGTACTTGTTTTCTGTGGGTGGTTTCTAGAAACCTCCCGAAATCAGCGTTTTTTCCTGCGTCGATCATTGGCGCTGATGGCAGACCAAGGAGATGAGGTGCTTAAGGGGGATCATGCTCTCAATCTCACAGCACCCTTGATGCCGAGAAGCGCCACGAGGTGAGAGCAATGCCGCAGACAGAGGCGCACCGTGATTCCCAGCCGATCATTCCCCTCGCGGCTTCTTAGCACACCACATCCTTCTCAGGAAGAACGAGACTCTCGCAGAGGACTGGCCTCTCATTCTTTCTCTCTCCTTCTTATCGAATAAAAAATCCTCTTTTTTTTCCCACCCACCAGATCCTGGACGTGGTTGATCTGCTGCCCGGCCCCATCTGTGTTGGAGTGGTTCGTAACAACCACCCACGACTGACGGTTGGAGTTAAGGTAATTTGTGTTTCATGAGATATGAGTTTTTGTGCTTTACTTTTGGGTGTTTACGGTTTGTGAATCGCCCCAGCGGTTCATGAGTTATGTGCATTTTCGTGAAAGATTTGAGTATGTGAGAGTTCATGCGTGTTTGTCTGTGTTCGTGTTATTTCATGTGTTCTGCGAGTCACGAGTTTTCGTGATAGTGTCGTGAATGTTCATGAGTCTGCTTCGTGAAGTGTTCGTGTAATTCCGTGTGAGTTCATGACTTTTCTGGTACAGTTTGTGAGGTGCGTTTTCGTGTGTTTTCATGAGTGCGTTCGTTATTTCGTATTTGTTCATGGTAGTTCGGGGAATTTAGCCCCTGGTCAAGATATTGAAGGGGTGCCGAGCACTGTACTGATTCTGGCGCAATCATGGGAGTGGCGCCAAAGGATCGAAGTGTGCCAGCATGTGCACACGCGAGGCCTGAGGCTGCAGATGGATTCGCCACACGCGCAAGTGGGGTGTGCAGGTGGCGCGAGGTAAAAAGCCGAGAATTCGTGGGTCCAGGTTGGATTTCGTGGGACCCTCGAGCGTTTTGTCTGCATTAACCGAGGAGAATATTCGCCAGGGTGTTTCACCAAGTGCGCGATTAATTTCGACGCAGGTGCGAATTGTGCGAGGAGGATTTCGACGACTTCGCAATTTCGTCGCGTAACTGCGCGAATTCTTCAGGTGTTTCCGTGAGCTGTCACGAAGCTGTCGCCACGAAAAACCATGAGCCACCACGAGCGTCCACGAGCGTTCGCGAGCAAGTATGGCCCATAGGAACAAGTGTGGGCGAGCATGTTTCAACTCATTTCGCAGGGTGAAAGCTGGCATTTCGGAGTATGTTTCCAGCTATCAATTTGGTGGGCTGTTTGCTTTTGATTTCAGTGGGTTAGTATAAATCTTTGCTTGTTCTTGTTTGTCATCAACCTTTTGAAAACATTGATTCGTGTGAAAAGGTTCCTCTCTCATCGTACTGACGTGAAGAGTATTTGTGGAGACGAGATCATTGATCAACAAGACGCTGCGCATATAAGTGCGGGACTACTCTAGTGCGTATACACTTGGAGAACCGTGGACCCGAGGACGAGGCCCGGCGGAGATCACTTAGTGTGACTTAAGTGGTTCGCATAGAGTGGACTAAGGGCTAAGAGTAGCCAACAATCTGGCACATCATCTTCCGCCACGTGCTGCTGGGCGAATCACACGAGGGACGCAGAAAGCGTTTAGTTCGACGTTTGAATCGTCTGAAACATAAAGTGCTGAATCGGGGTGGCTCCCCGGACGCATTGAGAACCTTCGGCTCCTGCTGGCCTCTGCTGCGCTGCGCCATGGTCTGCAAGAGGCTCCTCCACCATGTCGCCTCCTTCCCCGTGAGTCTCTCATTGCTCCCCGTGTGAGTCTCTCATTGCTCCCCGTGAGTCTCTCATTGCTCCCCGTGAGTCTCTCATTGCTCCCCGTGAGTCTCTCATTGCTCCCCGTAATCCATGGTAAGATTCTTCTCTGGGTGCTGAGGTATGAAGCGGGCCCGGTCACGGCTAAGCCTCCTCAGCCATCCTCGTGTCCATCGCTGCGTGTGAGCATGATTTCGAGCCATTGACGTTGCCAAGCAACACTCATGAGACTTTTCATTTGACTCACAAAGTCGCTCCTCTCATCGCTGTGTCTCTCCACCTCTCTCTCTCTCTCTCTCTCTCTCTCTCTCTCTCTCTCTCTCTCTCTCTCTCTCTCTCTCTCTCTCTCTCTCTCTCTCTCTCTCTCCATCTCTCGCTCTCTCCATCTCTTTCTCTCCATCTCTCTGTCCATCTCTCTCCATCTCTCTGTCACACCGTGTGAGAGCAGGACTTGGAGCCCATGACGCGGCCTCTCAACCGCCTAGACCCTGCGCCCACACGTCCCTCGGGAACGCTCTCTGTGTTCCTCCAGCACGCCCCCCACGCGCCCCTCAATTTCGTTCTCAGCGACTCCCGTCACCTGCGCTGCCTCGGCCCTCTCTTGGGCCCCTCTGCGCGCTCCTTCACAAGCCTGGGCCTTGGGCTCAAGGAGCCTCCACCCACGATTGTTAAGCCTTATCGTATTAAGGGGGGGTACGAGATGAATATAGACTTTCCTAAACAGGTTTGTTTCAAAATTCAGGAGAATCAGCTGATGTATCCAGGCGTCCTTGAGGGGTTTGAGCAGCTGCAGCGGCTGAAGCTAGGCCATGGGACGTGGCAACTAGGCAAACTCAAACCAACGAGCTTTCGGGCTTTAAGGATTCTTAGCATCCTCGAGTGCGACGAAAATGATCTCTCCTTTCTTTCATCCATCGCACCGCAGCTGCATGAACTCGCTCTCGCCTCCTCCAAAGATGGCTCTGGCTCTACTACCCTCGACTTCAAGTTCACCGCTGCTCGAGCTATCACAGTCTGCTTTGACAGACAAGCACTCCTCCTCCGCTTTGTCCTCCCTGCCTCTTTGAAGAGCTTCTCTGCTGCTGCAAAGTGTCTTGTCGTGGATTGCACATGCAACAGCCGCCTCTCTCTCGACTCACTCTCTCTCATTGGCCGCTCGCAGCTTCTCGTTTCTTCGCTCCCATTGGCCTCCGTTCAGTCCGTCTGCTTGAACGGACCAACCAATCGAGAAGTCCAGCGGCATGATCGTCCCTGTTCCGAATCCCAACGCGCCGTGACCGATCTCCCCAGCAGCATAGCGCCTACAGTGGAGTCACTTGTATTGAGGTACGGCTGGCCTCTGGAGGGCATGCGGGTGGAGTGGAGCCAGCTGCGCCACCTCAGCGTTGGTGTGAACCGTTATAGAACTCGGGGGTTTAGTTACAAAGACAACCCGGAGGATCCGGAAGACTCTCGGTTTTGGAGGTGCTTTGGTGGGGAAGAAGAGAGCAGCAGCGGCAGCAGCAGCAGCAGCAGCAGCAGCAGCAGCAGCAGCAACCTGTTCATCAATGCTCCGAATCTGGAGTCTATTTACTATGCCTCTTCCGAGTGGCAACCGGGCATTCCGGCTTCTCTGTGCAGGCAGTTCCCTTGTCTGGTATCGTACAGCGTTGTTGATCCATCGTCTCCCTGGTATGTGAGCGGGTGGGAGAGGAGCGGTGCAATTAGGTCAGATGGGCGTGGTGGGTTAGTATGGGATCACAGCGAGTCAGTGCGATAGCACGGGGTCAGATTGTGTGACGGTGATGGCATGGGGTCAGATTGTGTCATAGCGGTAGCATGGAGTCACATTGTGTCACAGCGGTAGCATGGGGTCAGATCATGTTCCCCATGCCATGGGTCAGGGCATTGAATTGAACAAACCCTCTGAGGCACTTCGTGCTTTGAGAGGAGAGAGGGAGCAGGGTAGCTGGGGTAGTGAGTGAGTGGAACCAAGATACACAGGTGTGAGGGTTGTATGTGTGAGGGTTGCATGTGTGAGGAATGGGTGTGCAGGGACGAGCAGGAAGGATGCTGTGTGCTTATAGTGGTAGTGGAATTGGTGTGACTGTAGGGGTCGTGTGCATCTGTGTGATGCACGCTAAACCCATGGCGATGGGATGGGATGTCAGCAGGTGCTAGCATTGGGGATCGCAATGGTGGGCAAACCATACATGATACTCCTGCTGCTGCTACTGCTGCTGCTCCTACTGCTCGAGGCTGGAGCTCGACCAGCTAAGCACAGTTAAGCAGAGGGCTCATCATAGTGTATTTATTAATGCTACTGACGTTTTGTAAATTTGCTAAGTATTGATGTTTTGTTTATATGTGAGGTGAAGGTGTTGATGTTTTTCATTTATGCTATATTCGCAAGCTGAGGTACAACCAAGCACATGGAAAGGAAACTGGATATTGCAGAGCTTGCACAAGAGATCATATGTACACCATCCAGCACAGATGTGCATGCGCAGCAGTGAGAGTTAATTACATACGGCACGTACCGTGAATCTCTATGTACACCATTTGCCTCTCTACAAGAGCACGATCACAAAGCCAAGGGATACAAGCACCCCAAGCACGGTCACAAATCCGATCGGCGCAGCACCAGAACAGCCAGCCTTGGGCACAGCCGTGTAGTTACCCAGGGAGGTGTGACCGGGGGGTGGAGAAGCAGAGCCATTTCTCATTCCATCACCCAACACGAACAAGTCAAGCAGGCGGTGAGCCGTGAAGGGCACCGGCTGCCACACCAGCACCTTCACTGTCGCCACTTCCTTGCTCTCCCTCACACCTGTCATGTTTGCTCCTCCAGACACCGACTGGAACACTACAGGTGCTGCTTGTGCTGCTGCTGTTACAGTCACGCTGTAGTTGATCCCTGCCCCCTCCACCACATTCGCCCTCGCTGCAAGGACATCTATTAGGGTCAAATGCGAGGTGATGTTGTTCTGTCCATTGCGCTCGGCCAAGGCGAAGAGAGCGAGGGAGCGCATGGAGAAGCCATTGTAAGAGTCGTTATAGGGGACAGTAGCAGAGGCATTGAAGGAGATATTGGAGGAGGAATTGGAGGAGGAATTGGAGGAGGCATTGGAGGAGGAATTGGAGGAGGAACTGGAGGAGGAATTGGAGGAGGCATTGGAGGAGGCATTAGCAGAGGTATTAGAGGAGGCATTAGAGGAGGTATTAGAGGAGGCATTATAGGAAGCGTTAGGGGAGGCAGGGGGAGGCGTCCAGGTGTCTAGGGGGTAAGCAGCAGGAATGAGCACCCACCCCTCATCCACACACACCCCTGCCATGGCCCGTGCCAAGTCCCACTCCACCACCCCACCACCGCCACTGCTGATGCCGCTGCTGTTGTTGCTGCTGCTGCTGCTGCTGTTGCTGCTACTGCTGTTGCTGCTTGTGTTGCCGCTGCTGCTGTTGCTACTGCTATTGCTGTTGAACGCTGCTGCTGCTGCATTCCCACCAGCAGCGCTGCTGCTGCTCGCATTCCTCCCGGCACACCCCCCTGCTGCCGCCACGCCCATCTCCCCCGCTGTTGCATTCCGCTGCGTCCCCGCCACCACCGCAAACGCCGTCACATTCACCAACCCCCTCCCACTCGCATTCCCTCCTTGTGAAGTATCAGGCATGGCGCCACTGTTGTAATCTAGTGCGTGCGTGGCATAGTGTGCCGCCATGCCGGTTGTGTTATCTGCTGCCAGCAGTGTGAGATTGTACTCTCTGTATCTGTATGACGGCACCAACACCTGTGCCTCCAGCACCGAGATCAGCAGCAATGCTGTGCCCTGTGGGGGGGGAAGGCAAGGAAGGGAGCCAGCAGCAACAGTGTGAGCGTACTGGTATCACCAACCGTGCCTCCAGCACCGAGATCAAAAGCAGCGCTGTGCCCTGTTGGGGGAGGGAAGGAAAGAAAGGGAGCCAGCAGCAAGAGTGTGAGCGTGTAGTCTCTGTCTCTGTCTCTGTATCCCGGGTATCCCGTGCCTCCAGCACCGACCGAGATCAGCAGCAGCGCGCTACCCTGTGTGTGGAGGGGAGGGAAGGAGGGGAGGGAAGGAGGGGAGGGAAGACGGGAGGGAAGGAAGGGAGGGAAGGAGGGGAGGGAAGGAGGGGAGGGAAGGAGGGGAGGGAAGGAGGGGAGGGAAGGAGGGGAGGGAAGGAGGGGAGGGAAGGAGGGGAGGGAAGGAGGGGAGGGAAGGAGGGGAGGGAAGGACGGGAGGGAAGGAGGGGAGGGAAGGAGGGGGGGGAAGGAGGGGAGCGAAGGAGGGGAGGGAAGGAGGGGAGGGAGGCATCAGTGTGCCACACCAAATACTGCGAGTGGTTGAGTCGTGGGATAGGCCTTGGGATGGTTACTCTCTGTATCCCGGCACTACCACCTGTGCCTCCAGCACGGGAATCAGCAGCAGTGCGCTGCCCTGCGGGGGGGAGAGGGTTGGAGAGAGGGCGAGGAAGTGCCTGAACATGTGCCTCAACGTTGGCTTTCCAGCAGCGAGATCAGTAGCAGCGTGCTTCCCTGTGGGGGTCGAAAGGAGGGAGAGGGAAGGAGGGGGGGGGGGGGGAGGACGGAAAGAAGTAGACAGGCTGAGCATGGGTCTGAGCATGACCATGGAGAGAAGGGAATGAATTGCCAACTGACCCTTGTGGAGGGATAATTCCATCCCATCCCAGTCCATCCCATCCCATCCCACCCCATCCCATCCCATCCCATCCCATCCCACCCCATCCCATCCCATCCCACCCCATCCCATCCCATTCCATCCCACCCCACCCCACCCCACCCCCTCACCCCATCCCATTCCATCCCATCCCACCCCACCCCACCCCACCCCACCCCACCCCAGCCCAGCCCAGCCCAGCCCAGCCCAGCCCAGCCCAGCCCACCCCAGCCCAGCCCACCCCACCTCACCCCACCCCACCCCATCCCATCCCACCACTCACCTGCCTCTCATTCTCACTCGCCACCGCCCCTCGTGCCACGCGCTGCACGTCAGCATCTGACGGGTCAACGTAAGTGAACTCAATGCCACACACTATGGGCGGCAGTGACACCACGTGCCTCAACGCCTTCTCCTGCTCCTCGCGCGTGCTCGCACGCTCCGACCCGGCCTGCATCGTGACCGACCACAGCACATACTCCCCTCCCTCTCCTATTTTGAGTATGAGGGAGGGAGCGGGAGGGGAGGTGAACGACTGCATCGTGACCGACCGCAGCACATACTCCCCTCCCTCTCCTCCTCCTGCTGCTGCTGCCGCCGCCGTTGCCGCTGCTGCCACTGTTCCTCGTCCTTCTCCTTCTGCTGCTGCTGCTGTGGTTACCACCGGTGTGGCTGCTGCTGCTGCTGCTGCTGTTATTGGAGGGGCAGCAGCAGGGAGCGCGGATTGCGCGGCCACGAGAGGGCGGCGGGAGAGGAGGGCGTCGAAGAAGGCAGTGCGGCCGCGCAGCAGGTTGAGAGCCGCCAGTGACACAAGGTACTCCTCCCCGCCTGCGCTTGAGTTGCCTGCGCTGCCATTGCCTGTGCTCGCATTGTCTATATACTCTACAGCCATAATCAAGACCGGTTGTAGGCTGTCGTTCTGGCGTGGGGGGGCGGGAGAAGGGGGGGAGGAGAGGGGGGGGGGTTGAGGGGATGAGGGAAGAAATTGAGGAGAGAAGGGAGGGCGAACGGGGAGAAGGGGAGATGGGGAGAAGGGGAGATGGGGAGAAGGGGGGGTGGGGAGAAGGGCAAAAGGAGCAGCTGTGCTGCTGTGGTGCAAGCAGGGGACTCTTTAAAGGTGCAACCCTCAGCCAGCTCAAGTTCAGGAGTGCTGCTCTTGAAAGGAGAGTCTTCAAAGAAGGAGGGTCATAAAAGAAGGAGAGTCTTAAAAGAAGGAGAGTCGTCTGTCGTCTGCAGCCTGCTGCCTGTCGCCTGTCGCCTGCCTCGCCGTGGCCTCGCTCTGCGGGTCGCGGTGAGACAGCTGGAGTTGAAGAGTGAGATGCAACACTTGTTTTTTAATCGTTTCAAACCCGCGTGTGACGAGACTGATTATGAGTCGACTAAAAAACAGACTCATCACACGCAGCGGCGGTGAGACAGCTAGAGTCGAAGAGTGAGACGCAACACTTCGATTGAGAGCGAATCGCGCCTCACCTTGGCGGCGTTGTGCTGTGCCACAGCGAAGCGCGCCATGGCGATTTGCTCCTCATCGGTTAGCCAGTGAAAGCTGGGCTCCAAATCAGGGCTCGGAGGGGAGCCGTCTGCTGCTGCCGAGAACATAGGCGGCGGAAGACACGCACGACACGTGGATGCCACGTGGGAAAGGATAAGGAGCCACAGCGGAAAAGTCAAGCACCGCCGAGTGGCAACGCGACGGCTCGTCATGATCGCCGTATTTACTAGAGTGAATCTGAAGCGAGCAAGGTCTCAGTTCGCGTGACTGATAAGCGTCAGCACTGGAACGAGGCCCGCCGCGTTCACCGGAACATACACCGGGTGTTTGCTCTTGCAACAGGAATTTGCGACTGGCAAGTTGAATGGATACGTAGTAGCGTCTGCTTCCACAAGATTGTAGTTTTTCAACCGTCTCCTGAATCATGAAAAGCTTGTGAGTCGAGCGGCACATGGGAGACAGTCTGAACGCATCTCGCTGAAGTTCGTAACCTAATATATGACGGTCCCGTCCCCGTTGCCTCAAGAGGCATGGCGGGAGGGCGACGGCGTTCGCAGCGGAAGCCATTGCAGAGTCAGCAGAGGATGTGAGAAGAAGTTGAGGAGGGAGGGAGAACAGGTTGAACGGATTTGACAATGACGCCCGAGGAGACTTGCGGGACTGTCGACAAACTCGAGGGCGAGCTATTTCGCTGCCAGCGAATGCTGGAACTCGCGCGGGACTTGGGAAGAATCTGTTTACTGAGGGCGTATTCCTGGCTTGGTTTGTGTTGAGGCATCTCAAATTCTTGAAATGCCTCAGGATTCCTTAGCATCATCTGCTTCGTTCTCTTCAGTGGTTTGTGTTGCTCATCGAAATCGAAACAACCGAGGATTGATAGTTACAACACTACTGTAGTTGAAATTCGAATTCGCTTAGTTTACCAAGTTCGCATTGTCCCCGTGGCTTGGTTATCCGAAGGGTGGGTCAATTTTCCCCTCGTTTGCTCAATAACCATCCCGACCAATGTACAACTTTATTTCACCGTTGAAAAACTCGAGGGCATCAGAGTTTCAGCAACTGTGTGAACCAAGTCAGACAGGAGCGAAAGTCAGCACCACTTGCGACACAAGCACGTTACCTGCTGCAAGTTTTTCGCCTGAATCCCTTTGGATCTGACGAATTTCGACATCGCGTAAGACAGGAGGGTAGATGTCTTCGAGCCATTCAGCGTGACGAACCTCGCACAGCCATGTAACGGGCATTTTAGATTTCAGTTCACGGACTGTTGGTTCTAATTCCTATGACTGCCACGTGGTCCTAGTTCTGCTTCAGTCGCGGCACCACCTGGAGTCGTAGTGCATCCGAGCGACTCCGAGACGCGGTCACTGCAGAGATTTCTGCTCTAACGGGAGTTGGAGCTCTACGAAATGCTTCTCTGCAGCCACGCAAACTCTATTCTTTAAGGAAAATCCCTTTTCCTTACTTCGCATCCCTGCTCAACGCGTACATCACTCTAGCACCTCAGTCAGCACCGTTACCACTCGCGACCATCGCATCGATAATCATCCCGCCATTTTCGCACATCGCATCCCGACCTCACGGCTCGGCTGGTAACCCGCTCTCCGGGCCTACGCTTCGACACTTTCCCAAACCTCAGTCCCAGGCTCGTCGCGCGACTACCACAGACCATTACCGTTACCACTGTAGTTTCGCTATATATTCTTCGCTCATGCCTTCGCTCATTGTATTCTTGCTTCGATAGTGCAATTCTCGTTCGCTCACTCAATTGCACTCGTAACACTTGGTATTCAGAGCCTACGATCTCATCTCGGACCGCATCCACACCTTCGCTTCCCCACTATCTCAATTTTTGGGGGGGGTAGACGTCTCTCAGCGATACAGCACCGCCGCTCGTAGTGCTCTCTCGCAAGCACGCACGGCCATGACCGAGGCTCTCGCTGAGCTTGCCCGACACCCCCGCCATGGCCGACTTCACGCTCGCCACATTGACGCAGGAGCAACTTGATCGTCTCGTGCGTCAACTGGAGGATTCGGCGCTTGAAATCGCGACTCTCACGGCGGAACGTGACTCCGCCCGTCAACAGTCCACGGTGAACATACCGACGACATCACACGCACCAACAAATGTATCTGCACATTCGGATGAGCCGATCGTCATCTCGTCCGGCACACCAACACAACACGACAGCATGGGACAACGCTCAGGCGCAGCCAGTGATGGCGCCGCCCAGCCGATGCCTGGCATGGGAGGAAACAGGATCGCACCAAGCCCACGGGAGCCCCGAGAAGCCCGTCGGCACGTGGAATTTGCGGCGACAAGTGGCGAACACGCCATCATAGCACCAATGCCGCTCAAGCCGCAACGCCCGCCCTGCTTCGACCCAAGCCAACGCGGCGGTCCGACAGTTCAATCGTGGGTCTTCACGATGAACGTCTTCTTCGACGCGAATTACGTCGAGCCGGACGCCGCGAAGATCCGGTATGCAGTTTCACTGCTAAGGGGCCCCGCCATGGACTGGTGGCGAGTCATCGTGACGTCGCCACGCGCCTACGAGCCACCGTCGCACGAGGAAGGGCCCACGGGTCCAGCTGTCACCTGGAGTTCGTTCTGCGAGACCGCCCAATACAGCACGTGGGATGCGTGGTGCGCAGGGCTTCGGGCGCGTTTTGCGCCGATCGCGGCTTCAATTTCGGCGCGTCAGAGATTGCGCACTTGGCGCCAGCTCGGGTCAGTTCAAGACTATACAAGCGGTTTTCTCGCACTTTGCGAGCAGGTCGGCTACATGCACGAAGCGGAGCGGGTGGACCGTTACGTCGCAGGGCTGAAGCCGGATATCTCGCACGAAATAATGCTGCGCGGACTCTCTAATTTCAACGAGATTCTTGCGCTCGCCGAGAAGATCGACATTCTACGCCGACCGAGACCGGGGTTCTACTACGGACATCGCCCTCGGGGACCGACCGAGCACGCCACTGTACACGCCGTTGCAACGAATGCAGCTGCCGCACCGTTTAAGGGGCGCTGCTTTGCTTGCAACAGGCCGGGCCATCGCAAGAGCGAATGCCCAGAGGAGCTGAGGCGCCGAGGAGCAGAGCAGGGGAGGGAGTCTCAGAGGCAGGGAAACGCCAGCAGTCTGTAGAAGTTGGGCCAACTACTGACGAGACTGCCTGCTCGCCCAACCACACCGACCCTCACCGAGTCACAGTACCGATTCACGCCATCGATCGGACTCGGATGAATAAGGAGGGTACAGCGACGGATTGCCCAGTACTGATCTACGGGAAAATACAGGGAGCAGCAGTGAAGATTTTTATTGACGGAGGAGCAAGTCACAGCTTAGTTAATACCGCAACCGCACGGAGATTACAGTTAACACTTAACCGATGCTTACCGGAGATAGACGCACGCTTAGTCGACGGAACACCACTGGCCATACGGGAAAAGGTGGAGCGCGTAAAAGTCCGCTGCGGAGGGAACTTCGGGTTTACACAGGAAATGCTCGCAACGACACTGGATGGGCACGACATTTTATTGGGACGTGATTGGCTGCGACGGTATAACCCGCGAATTGACTGGACGACGGGTAGCTGCACAGTGCGAAGTAGTGGTAACTGGGTCGTCCTACCTCGCTGGCAGCCACCCGAGTCTTCGACGGTCCAGGTCAACGCCATCACGATGAAACGGGCTGTCGCTGCTGGAGCTGACGTGTACGCAGTGGATATAGCATTAGTGGAAAAAGAGGAGCAGCCGAGCGATTTTCAGAAAGTGTTGGCAGCTGTACCACCCGAACTGCACGCACTACTGAAACGGTTCCCGGGTATCTTTCCGGATGACTTACCGCAAGGGCTGCCACCTCAGCGGGCGCATGACCATAGGATCGAGTTAGAACCGGGGGCACAGCCAACTGTACAACGCCAGTTCCGACTGACACAGCCAGAGCTCGACGAGCAAAGGAAGCAGTTAGATTACCTGTTAGAGAAGCAGTTTATCCGACCGAGCTCGTCACCGTTCGCCGCACCGATACTGTTCACACCGAAAAAAGACGGAGGATTTCGCATGTGCATTGACTACCGAGCGCTTAACAGGGTAACAGTCAAATCGCGGTACCCCATCCCCCGCGCCGACGAACTGATCGACCAACTGCGAACAGCACGGGTATTTTCGAAAATAGACTTACGCGGGGGTTACCATCAGATTCGGGTCGAACCATCGGACAGCGCAAAGACAGCATTTAGGACTAGGTACGGGTCATTCGAGTACACAGTGATGCCTTTCGGGCTAACCAACGCGCCTGCAACATTTCAGATGACCATGAACGAGGCGTTTAGGCCACTCTTAGATAAATGCGTGATCGTTTACCTCGACGACATTCTCGTTTACAGTCGGGACCAGCAGCAGCACTTAGTAGATCTCGAAGCAGTTTTTAAAAATTTAGAGGCACATCGGTTATTAACCAAGGGCTCCAAGTGCGAGTTTTTTCGGGACAGACTAGAATTTTTAGGACACGTTATTTCGGAGGCTGGGGTTGAGATTGACCCTAAGAAGCTGGATGCCGTAAAAGCGTGGCATCCCCCGACGAACATCACGGAACTACAGAGTTTTTTAGGATTCGTTAATTACGTTCGTCGGTTCGTCCCCGACATGGCACGCTTAACAACCCCTCTCACTGATTTACTGCGTAAGGGGGTCGTTTTTACGTGGGGGGAGAAAGAGCATGCTGCCTTCTCTGCCCTGAAAACTGTTCTCTGTTCACCACCCGTCCTTCGCATCGCTGACCCACATCGCCCCTTCGAGGTTGTTACCGACGCGAGCGACATCGCCATTGGAGCTGTACTGTTACAGGACTTCGGCAACGGCCTCCAACCCATCGCCTACGAATCACGCAAACTGCATCCACCTGAGCGAAATTACCCAATACACGACCGCGAAATGCTCACGATCGTGCATGCATTCAAAGTGTGGCGCTGCTACTTGACCGGCGCAGACGTGACAGTACGGACAGACCATCGATCCCTACAGTACCTCCGTGCACAGCCCCACCTCAACCCACGACAGATTCGGTGGCTCGATTTTCTCGAGTCGAATTTCCATTATACAGTCACCTATAAAAAAGGAGCCTCGAATATCGCCGACGCACTGACCCGCCCTACTGCCCAGATCCATGCGGTACTACTCGCCCATACCAGTCCGCTACTGACAGGACTATTT